GTTAGGTATGTATTTTCTTTTTTTTTTCTTCCTCAATTCTCAAGACATCAAAGATCAATTTCTTAAATCAAAGAAAAACAAGGAGGAGAAGAGTTTATACTTTAGATTGATTTGAATTTATGGTAATATTTGACTTCCCCTTTTCTTTCACTGTCTCATTCTTCTCTCTCTTCTTCTTCTCTCTTTTTTACCCAAATTTCTCCCCTCTTTCCTCCCTTTGATCCTACTGTGAGGCGGTGAGGAACACCGACATGGAGAGGCGGCGAGGAACAGTGAAATGCGATTTTTTAAAATATATTTTATTATTTTTTTTCCTGTTTATTTGGGGTTGTTACATTAAACCTCCAATAAATTTAAGTGGATATGAGCACACTTGTCTACCAAACTTTTTACCCCTTCATTATACTTTGAGATTTGTGTTATTTATCTTTGAGATGTGCGTCTTCATTTGTGTCACATGTTAGTACAAATCTCAATGCAAAATAAATAAATAAAAAAGCTAACCGATAAAGGACTTCTATCCACTTAACTTTGTAGGAGCTTTACTTTATATACACCCACACACACATACATATAAGAGGATAATGGGTATGAGTTGGCAGCTCATTTTACAAAATGAGCTATCAGCTCACTGCCATGTAAACCCCACCTTGATATGACTAGTATGGGGCTCACATGGCATTGAGTTGGCACCCCATTTTGCAAAATAGGCTGTTAGCTTATATACATTTTTTCCTATCTATTATAGATGGAAAAATTCAAATCCTCAACGTTCCAAAAGTAAAGTGATGATACTATCCGACCTGAATGCACTTATTTACATTTTTGCGGCTTGTTTATTACAAATAAAACCATTGACAAGGGACAATCTTGCATAGAAACTATAGAAAATTGATAAGATCCATTATTCATTGATTTGTTAGTAAATCATAAATTTTGAAACTTATTCATATATTTTGAAAAAAAAAATATAATAAAAACTTATTCATATACTTTGAAAATTTTGATGGAAATTTCAACACCAAACATGTGAAAGATAAGTAATCCAGTGATAGGTCCCTAGCAATGCAGCAATTCATTCTTCATCTTAGGTTTCTATGCCCTCATATTTACTATTAAGTTCTTGTCAAGTAACAATTCATTTTTGTAAAACTTAACCTACGCATCTCAGTACCATTACACATAAAATACAGTATCACTTGATACTTGGTACTGAAACGAGTAATATATGCTTGCTGAAGTAATAAACATGGATAATTTTTAACTTATTTTTCTTATAAATAAGAAGATTTTACTATGATAAGCATTAGTTTATTGAAATAACAGTTAATCAACTTTTGTTAATTCGAAAATATAAGCAAGGTGTATCTGCATAACCAGTGAACAAACAATTATGAAAAAAGAAAAAAAAAAAGAAGGAAAAAAAAGGCATACAAAAGGAAAAGTGGAACGCATAAATTCCAAACACTCGTAAGAATATAAATGCTGCGGAACCTTCACTCCTCATGTTTTGAGCTCATTCTACACAAAGGAATTTAACCACCTATAGTCCAAGAAGATACCTGGGCATTACCACTTAAAATGACTTGAAGTGAAGGTCGTGAAAAGAGAATCATATATGACTTGAAGTGAAGGTCATGAAAAGAGAATCATATAAAAGAGATCAATGAACACGGCAAACAATTTTAGCATGCAATGGAATTAGGAAATTGCATGGTTTTTTGCGACTAAAACTTTATTGCTCAAAGGACCTTTCCCGCTATACTCAGGCATTCCTACGTTTGTCAACTCAAAATGCAATCTTACCACGTTAAACAGTACAAAAAATGACAGCCTAACCTGCTCCTACAGACATTATGTCCTATTTAATTCGCACTTGACATCTGCTGTACAGTTATTGGCAACAATTTTCATGGAGTTCCGGTCCCATCAGATTCTATAGATGGAAGTTAAACATCAGTATTCTTCTTACACAACTTTCTAGCTTCTTCTACTTAACCATCATCTGAAACCACTCCAAAAATTGAAGCCAAACTCTGATAGGATGTAGGTGTAAATTTTGATCTCCCGAAACAGGGAACTTCGTTTGTATTGATAAGAACGGCTTATTACAAACTAATAATCAAATGTTTACAACAGAAGCGGAGGGAAAGCCCTCCTTGTTTAACGTGGGTTCCTCGGTGGCGATAGGACGCCTCGCTCGGTGCTCGTGCCGAGTCTGCTTCCCTTGGACGATCCGATCGAAGTTGCTGCCGGAGCTTCAGTACGCTGTAGAAACTCGGTTCGATGGAGTTCGGGTCTTCTAGTTCGTCGGCGATCGGGGCTCGGAACTAGGAAACGGTGCTGCAATGCAAGGATTATGCAAAGAGCTTGTCGTCGACTCGGTTGGGAGTCGAGAGCTGGTGGTTCAGTTAACTGATTGAATTAATCAATTAACTATGTGTGAACCTCTTTCCTGTAGTCGGGCGAGGTTCTTAAATAGAGGAGAGATGGCGTGGCCGCTCCTTGAATCATGAGATGTGACCATACACTGTTAAGAGACATCTTGTCGCTCTTCTGTACTACGAACCGTCACTCGATGGGTCGTGCTTCACGTCCTGTCGCCTAGGAGCGGCCGTCCATTACTCGAGTGGATTGAGCCAGCTCACTGTGCGCTGGTGGTTCCAGCTCTTGACTTGGACGCGCAGGTTGATCTGGCATCTCTCCGATCACTCGTACCGTGAGCAGTCATTCAACGGGCCTGGAGTACCGTGTCTTCTCTCTTCAGGCCGAGAGAG